CAATTATTCAGTCCACGGGGAAACGCTGGGGAAGATGCTCGCCCGCCTACCAACAAAATCAAACCTCCATCCTCTTTCGAAATCTCAAGACATCAAATCATTGTAGTATGGCTTTTTCTCATTATTTAATTAGACCCATTGAAGTCTTTTCGTGGAATAATTACATGAATTATTTGTGATATAAATGCGGTTGATTCCTTTTTCTTTATAGATAAATGTGGTCAATTCAATAAAAAAATTAAGGTTGATTATAATCATAACTATCATAGATGAAATTCATTTATCTTAATGCAATTGCTTAAGTTTTTATTATTACGTTTTCCTCGATTACTTTATCATTTATTTGTATAAAATTTATTCATAAGTTGTGGAATTCATCCGTAAGAAATTAAATGAAGAACATTTGCAAATCAACCCTATATAATAGTAATCATTACAATAAATCAAGTTAATCAAGTATATGTTGTTGTTATTGAATTATCATATTGCTAAATTAGCTTATTTCAACAATTAATTAACTAAGACAGTGGTCTTTGGCCTCCAAAAGCACAATATGAGGGGGCTTAATTTTGATTCAGACACGTATGTCAGCAATCGTCGTACCAAATAAATGCTCAATTAATACTTCAGCGATGCCCACTATCAAGAAGCATATCCCCTGAAACCGTAGGGACTCAAGAAGGAGAAGCTGAGCCACTTTCGCTTTTACTTCCATGACGTACTCAACGGGCCAAGGCCTACAGCTGTTCGCGTAGCCAGCGCAACCATGACGAGCACTTCGGCCACTTTTTTTGGCTTCATGGTGATGATGGATAACCCTTTGACGGTTGCGCCTGAGTTCGACTCCAAGCTTGTGGGAAGAGCACAGGGAATTTATGCATCTGCATCGCAAAGCGAGGTTGGTCTTTTGATGGTTTTGAACATTGCTTTCACTCAAGGCAAGCACAATGGCAGCGCTCTTAGTGTTTTGGGGCGTAACCCCGTATTTTCAACCGTGAGGGAGATGCAGATCGTAAACCTCCAAATTAAAATATTAAACTTTTAATGGTTGAGAATACATAATTTACTTATACAGAGTCAATTACAATCCCACCTCGTATTTTTCACTTTAAACTTTACAAGCAAAAGGAAATTAGAAGAGAAGAAAAAGTACTAGTAATATAAATTAAACCCACAGAATCCGACCATGATAATATCAATAATGGAAGACATAGACATTGTACTCCACCACAGCATTCCCGGTATTGAGATCAACCGAATGAGTCTTGGCCTGAGCATAGCCACATGCAAATCTGAAAAGCCCACTCCCACCAACGATCTGCATCTCCCTCACGGTTGAAAATACGGGGTTACGCCCCAAAACACTAAGAGCGCTGCCATTGTGCTTGCCTTGAGTGAAAGCCATGTTCAAAACCATCAAAAGACCAACCTCGCTTTGCGATGCAGATGCATAAATTCCCTGTGCTCTTCCCACAAGCTTGGAGTCGAACTCAGGCGCAACCGTCAAAGGGTTATCCATCATCACCATGGAGCCAAAAAAAGTGGCCGAAGTGTTCGTCATGGTTGCGCTGGCTACGCGAACAGCTGTAGGCCTTGGTCCGCTGAGTACGTCATGGAAGTAAAAGTGAAAGTGGCTCAGCTTCTCCTTCTTGAGTCCCTACGGTTTCAGGGGATATGCTTCTTGCTAAACGATGAGATTTTGCGGCGACAAGGGTTAAGGTCCCCAAAATATTGTCCTCACTTTAAGACGTTTGGAGATTTCTTTTTCTTTTTTTAATTTATTTTTAAGTTTTTAGAAATTTTTATTGTAATCATATAATTCTTTTTTTATGAACACAAAACAGTATTATATAAATTGTACTTTCTTGATTACTTTTAGATTTGGTAATGTTGAAGATGCAACAAGAAGGCACGGAATTAAACAAGTTTGTCTTTATTTTTATGGTGTTTTGTATCTTAATCTTATTTTAACCGTGTCAGACATAATTAACACGTTTAAAACACATTTAAATACATTTTAATTAATCATATTGATTGTGTTATTGTATTTAAATAAGTATAAATAACACATTTAATGTTAATTATGAATTTTATTGATATGATAATGATATTTATGTTTATTATTTATGTTAAATTTATTATATTTTATGTTATTATTATTTTGTTATAATTGTTTCTATAATTATTAATTTTAAATTTGAATAATAAAATTATATTTAATTATAAATATTTTAAGTTAATCATGTTAAACGAGTTCAACGTGTTAATCATGTTAAGAAAAAAAATATTAATAATTTAATCATGTTTATTGATCATGTCGTGTCATATGAAAAAAATTCTGATACGTTTAATAAATATATTAGTCATGTCATGTTACACGGTTATTAAATATATCCATGTACATATTTTTAATGTTGACATGAATAATTATTCGAGATATGTTCATGTTTAGCTTTATCGTATTTTATTTCTTAATCATATCGACACAATTAAGACTCGAAAACAATCTAATTACTTTGTCTTATTTACATTAGAACACTTATTAATATCACCATTTTATATCAAGTGATAAATCCACATGATCATTCCATGTCATTCTTTTGTATCATATCATCATTTTGTGTTACATATGATAATAAGAAATGATGATGAGGTATAAAAAATATTATGTGGATTTATTAAGATACATCATTATGTAATTATGACAATTAAAATGTTATTTTTAAAATTAAATAATTAATGAAAAATTTTAAGCAATCCAATAAATAATTTACTTTTTTTTTTCATACCATAGAAAAGGAAGTACAATATATGACCATGACTCAAATTTAAAATTTCCGTCTAAACTCTATTCCAACCATACAACTTGAGCTAAGTCCATTGACAAGGTTTGAACAATTGAATCTTTTAATTGGAACATTAGGACGTCCTCGGGTCTGGGGAAAGGCTATCAAACTATGGGCTTTAGTCTCAAATTTGAAGAAATCTCATATTTTTATAATAATAATATAATTAATTATATTAAAATATTAAAATTAAGATAATTAATAAAATATTTACCTATTCATTTATGTCTAATAAATATTTATATTCTCTAACTTTCACATCTTATTAATTCTAAAATAATTATCTCATTTTTTATTAAAAATATGTAAAAATAAAAAATAATTAATAAAAACTTATTTTTTCACTTTTTTAATTATATATCTAATAAATTTTAATTTTTTATTATTTCTTAATTCTTCCAATGCTATTAATTCCCTGCCTCTATCAGGTGGTTTGTGCTGCAAGGAGAGAAAGAGGTGAGAGGAATTTGGTGGTGGGATGCAGGAGTTGAGAAGAGCCCTTTAACATGTTGTCTTGACCGGTATGGGCGTACAGATGTAGCTAGTGGTTCCCAGGGAGTTAAATGCACGTGCTTTGTTTTACTGGGGATGGGGGTTCTAGAGTGTCTCAACTGGCACCCGGGTTGTGATATTTATAGTCTCCAACAATTTTTTTTTCACTTATTTTTTTTTAATTTTCAATCAACTAATGATAAAATGTATCTAATTTATTTTTTATATATAAAATCACTTATAAATTTTTTTCAATTTATAATATTTACTTTTAAATTCTTTTTCCTTTTCTTGTTTTTTTTTTTCTTTTAACTTTAATTTTCTTTCAAAAAATATGAAAATCTATTATATTATTATTTTCATAAATATAAATTTGGTTATTCTAGGGTTAAATTTTTTTAATTTCAATAAAAGGTTTTATTTGAATATTTTACTTTAAGCCTTTAAGGTTATTAAATCATCTCTCATCTTAGGCTTCGAGTTCTTATTGTAACAAAGGTGAGATGGTTAGATTTTTTTTATCTAAAAAGAGGGTGTGCACAAAGAGGCAGCTTAGGAAGCAATTGTACAGATCTTTTTGAGTCCTTAAGCCAGGTTGTGTCTATGCTAAGAAAAAAATCTAATGTCTGATAGCTCCTAATATATTTTGAAAAACAATCAGACATTTGAGTCTGATAAATTTTAAAGAAAAATCTAATGTATGGTAATGTCTGATAGCTCCTAATTATGGATCAATAATCATGAAAAAAATCTAATGTCTGATAAATAATCTTGTTGGTAGCTTAGGTAGCATTAATTGTCTCTATCTATTCAAGTAAATCATGAGAATTCGACCCAAGTTGTAGCCAATTCCATGCAACATCATGTGGAGTTACTTTTTTCTTTTTTAATTAATTAGTAGTTAAAACTTACAATTGACATGAAAAATTATGTAAATTAATTTAGAGGGAGAAAAAAAGAAGATATTGTCGCTATGATATTTTTTCGAAGAAACATATGAGCTGCAAGCTGCATGGCAGCTTGGAAGGAGGAAGACTTTGTCCCTGCATCCCTGTTCTTTGATCTAGCTAGCAAGATCCTTCCGTATACATCTCCTTCCATAGGATAGCAATATATAATTAAAATCAAAGATCAATATCTGGTTTGCTTACGTTATACATAGTGATATATACTAACAAGCTATATCAAATCCATCCATCGATCTCAGACTTTTGATATTTTTTTCTCCTTCCGAATTCTACAATATCTCATTGTACTGATCTCAAACATGCCTAGAGCCCTACCAAACCTCTCCTTCGGCTTCCTCATTCTCTTTCTTTCCTTAATCCTTAGCCACGACGAACACTTGCGGAACTTACGATGACCCCTTTTCGGGAGAGCTCAAGGAATATATGCGTCTGCTTCACAAAGTGAAATTGATTTTTGCAATGGTAATGAGCTTTGCTTTCATGCAAGGGAAATATAGTGGAAGCAGTCTCAGCATTTTGGGGTGTAACCCCATATATATCGTAAACCGTGAGGGAGACGCCGATCGTTGGTGGGAGTGGGCTTTTCCGGTTTGCGCGGGGCTATGCTGAGGCTAGGAGTCACTCACGGGATGCTAAAACTAGGGGTAGTGTCTATGTCTTCCATTGTTGATGCCATAATATGCTTTACTGCAATCATGGTGGTTTGCATTTCTTTGTTTGCTTCTGATTCATTGACTTCGCTTTTGAATTCCATGTTTGCGCAAGATTTGACAGTCATATAGACAGAGGCGACAGTGCCATCCTCCCGAACGGTTGAACTTGACATTTTCGGGAAAAGCAAAGCCGTGTGTGATATGACCAAACTGTGAAGTTTTGCACTTCCGAGCAAAATTAGGATGCGAACATAGAAAAGGCCTTTAATTTTGGCCGATGCTAATGTGCAATTTAATTATCATACTTCTAGTTCAATTAAAGCATTAAGTTATAAATACACAATTAAAGGAAATGAATTATATAACTATAATACATCAGTTTTTTAAAATATTTCATTATTGTTTATTACAAGTGTTAACATATAGATTATAAATCTAATAATAATTGATTATAGTATTACATCAAATTAAAAGTTCAAATCGATTTTTATTAATTTAAACAAAAGAGTAATGATGGCCAAACTCTATAATTTTATTAAAGTTCAAGTACTTTTTCCAACTTAATTTCTCCACAATTAAATTATTTAATTACAAGAAAAAACAAATAAGTGCAAAAACTGTATAAAATCCATATCCTGCACAAGCACTAGTCTATATATATAAATATAAATATATTAGTTCTTAGAAGGACGAAGATAATTTCCTTTAACTATTATGTAAAATGGCTTCGTCTGTTATAGAAACATTTCCACTTGTTCAGTATTTTCAATATTCCTTTGGAAACCAAAGAGGATAAAGAAGAATAGTAATGGTAACGGAGGTGGTCACACTTGGACCCCATTACTGGTCTGGACCACATTGAGCCAATCAGAGGTAAATCTCAAAACTTTTTCTGGAAACTATGGTTTCAAAATTCAAATGCATCTTCTTTACTCTTACCGGTCTCTGCAACTTACAGAGATTCGTAGCTTTAATTTCCATGATGATGGCCTTGGGCTTTCTCCCATCTTCCCAAAAGCATGCTCTAAGTTCAAAAAATATTCTTCTTTGGCAGCTTGGTCTAAAAAAAGAATGAATGAATTCCATCCTCCATTCGGTTTCTTGTAAAGTTTCAAGCGGAGAAGGCTAAAGCTATTGCATTATAAATTTCACACCCTTAGCTTGGAAAAGGATTTTCGTTCTTCTTTTAATATAATTTAATTAATGCACTAGTTTTGATTTTGGTAGTCAATTTTCTGAAGAAAAAATAAAATAAAAATAGCATTGAGTGGACAGATATGGTGGGGACGCGAGAGCATGCTACAATTGGTTAATTTTTATAAGTAAACATCATTGAATCAATGTTTTTAAAATAAAAAGCATAATTTGATTTAGACATGTATACTAATTTTCAATAAATAATAAAATGCTCAACAAAATCCATAGTACGTATCACCTTTTGGTAGATCGCAAGAAACCAAAGATACATTAATTATTCAATCATTAATTAATTATAAGGTGAAATACTTAGAACTTCTAGCACTGCTTAATGTATGACTCCATGAATCTTCTTGTCTTGGACATGGGATTTCAATGAAAATATCAATCAACATAAAGTGGCCCAAAGGCATATCGTATAAGAGAAAAGACACAGAAGGATGGAAGTTATCCAAGAAAACCAGAAGAGAACAAAGGAACATAGGCCACAAAAACCGAAGGCATCGATGATTATATCAATAATGGAAGACATAGACGTTGTACTCCACCACAGCATCCCCGGTTTTAATATCAAATGTGTGAGTCTTTGCCTGCGCATAGCCACGGGCAAACCGGAAAAGCCCGCTACCACCAACAATCGGCATCTCTCTCACGGTCGTGAAGACGGTGTTTCGCCCTAGAAGACTAAGGGAGCTACCGTTGTACTTGCCTTCCGTGAAAGCAAAGTTCATTACCATTAACAAACCAACCTCATCTTGGGCTGCAGACGCGTAAATTCCTTGCGCTTTTCCCACGAGCTTGGAGTTGCGCTTGGGTGCAACCGTCAAAGGGTCATCAACCATCACCACAGCACCGAAACCAGTTTCGGATTTGTTTGTCATGGCTGCGCTGGCCACTCGAACGGCCGAGGGCTTTTGTCCACTGACTATGTCATGGAAGTAGAAGTGAAGGTGGCTGAGTTTCTCTTGCTTGAGTCCTAGTTTGGCTGGGGATAAGATGTTTGAGAAGCCATTAGATTTCGCAGAGGCAAGAGTAGTCGCGAAGAAGAGCAGAGTAAACAGAAAGAGGAAGGTGGAGGAGAGTAGCTCTGAGAGGGTTTTAGCCATGTCAAAATTGTAAATAGTTGTCAGGATTTTGAGGGATAGGAAATATATAAAGAACTAAGATGGGCGACTACCAATATTTTATAATGAAACAAAACGTGGGTTTGGTAACATAACTCAGTTAATAGAGAAAAGTCGCACGGAATGTGGGTTATTTTGGAGGAAAATTAGAAGCAGGCGTGTCAAAGTTAGGCCGGTGGGCTGCCTTTTTATGTCATGCCTTCCGCTTGAAAATATCCTTTCTCTTGAGCCAACACAGAAAACCATTTACTGTTGTAAATAAATGAATCATCATAAATGAAGCCAGTTCAGAGAGCAATAATCAACTCAAAAAAGTACTTGACGCACTGCTACGAAAATTAAGCCAGTAATTTTCCACCACAACAAGCAGAAGCGAATAAGACAATTCCTTGCCACCAAGGGAGGAAATCAATGTCCAAGCAGTGTGAACCACGCAAAGGCAACATATATATATGCACTTTGTTCAAAAGGTATTTGATTCCAAGAGATTCCTCCTCTTGTATTGCTTTTGTTCGATTTCTAATTTTCTATCTCGAGATTAATTACTCGCCAAAATCATGCCATGATGACAAAATTGATGTCATTTCCAAGTATTCCATAAGAATGTGAGCTTTAAAGTCAAATTGTCACTCTACTATAGTTTAATATTGAATTTTATCATTATATTTCAATTGTATTAGTTTTTATCATTATAATTTTGTTGATTTTGAATAAAAAGTAAAAGAATTGAATTATTTCACGTAACAAGTTTCCATAAATTTCGTTATTTTTAACCAAAAATCAATAAATTATACATTGACAAAATTCAACATTAATCTATAGTATAATAATAAATTTGACTATAATCTTTAAGAATATGGACTCGGTTCTGGAAAATTCATAGAGGGCCCAAAAGAAAAAGGAATATCTACCGTTTCCAAGTTAAAAGTGACCTACCACACTATTTCAAGGGAAACATAGCCTTGAAGAACAGAAGGTTACCCTGTGAAAAGAGGAGAGAATTGTAAGGGAAGGGCAGCTGCTTTCAAAGGTCTAAAGATGGCCTATTAGTCTGTCTCGTCGGGCATTTAAGACTCCTATGCCATTAAATAAAAAAAATGCATGGCAAAGTTGCCCACGTTTAAAAATTGTCGAAATCTCATGTTTTGAATGAGACATGGAATGAAGTTTGCTTTCTCATTTAAGATTATCAATTTTAATAATTTATATCTAACGATTTACATTTAAGTATTGTTGATTTGATATTTTTTTAAATTTAAATTATGTGATCATTAAAAATTTAAATTCAAATTTTTAATAGTGATTGAATTGTATCTTTATATAAATTTTAACAATATTATTCACATTAATATGAAATGAAGTATCATAATACATATGTCAACTGATGCAAAGTTCAGATTCAAAATATTAACAACTAGCAATAAATACTCATTGTAAAACGAAAAGATGGGATTCTAATCCAATCAAAACATTCTAAAACAAAGGTCCTGATAGGGTATGTGATGCTGACTTTCTGTATTGGATGAAAGAGTGTGGTTGATTCATTCAACAATAACCTCATACATGTTCAAAAATCTAGCAAAATGCGGTCCTCCTTAGTCCTTACCAACTCTGTATCTAGCAAGCTTCATGGTGCACAGATTGTGTACACAATCTCAACTCGCTATAGAATATGATCCTTTGGGCATCATGTTAGGGAGATTGCAAGTCTGTTCTTGAATTTTGATTCCAATAATCACCTAATTCACCCTGTTTTATGTCGAGTTATTGTGACAGTGGCATGGCAAGTGACTTCATTGTTGTCCCGTTTTGAGATATTGCGACACCAAGGATAGCAACTTGGGCACAATTAGACCAATAAAGTCCCGTTTATCATTATCATTGACTTGTATAATTTGCATTTGATTGTAATCGTCAATTTTAATCACAAATGTAATATCAAATAATATATAATTTTGATTAAGGTAAATTTGTTCTCCTTAATTACAAAAGCAAGTAGGGACCTATGATTACAAAAGCAAGTCAAATGTTTTTATTTTTTCAGTTTCCCCTTCAGATAAACGAAAATTTACTTGGGATGGGAAGTTGGAGTTCTATATTTTATTTGTTTCTTCATGCGTCTATATTTGATCCATTGCTTCGTTCACCAAAAAGCGTCACATGGTTAATGTGTAAAAATAAAACCTTGTAAATAAATATTAAAAGAATTTAATAATTAATTAAACAAAAAATAAAATATTTTTACTTTTCCCTCCAAATCTCTTTTGCTTTATTTCTTGTTTTTATGAAATGCTAAAACAGAAAATTAAGAAATTTAGTAAGGAGATTTCGAATTTTTGTTGAAAAAGATAGAGGAAATCGTCTACCAAGATGGCTATGTAGGATTTTGGGTTTTTGTTGAAAGAGATGTGGTAACCCTGAATATCCCATCAATTTAAATTGCAAGCAATCAAATAATGTTGTCAATCATCAATAAATGGTCTACTAGACACAAATAATTTAAAACTTAATGATGAAAATGAAGTGAAAATATTTTATTTTTATTTAATTAATTATTAAAATCTTTTTAATATTTATTTTTGAGACAGTTTTTATTTTTATTTGTTAACGATGTAGCGTTTGTTGGTAAGTTAACAGTGTATAGGAGTTGCATCGAATTTTTTTTTTTTTCATAATTACATTATTTTAACAAAATGTTCAAACGGGTGCTATGAACCGGGCCTCGTTTAGACCTTGAATCGACTCGGGCTTGTATCCCAAAGTCCAAACCTGTCCTAAAAGTAGACGGGCTTTCGTTCCCTCTGGGCTCCAGCCAAAGCCCAAACCCAAAACCCGAAAAAGCTGAAAAACCAAAAGAAAATAAGAAACCTAGCGAAGGAAACAAGCGGCTATAAAAGGATCATTTTAGGGTTTTGCTCCTCCACAACGCCACTCTCTTCTTCCTGGGAGCTCGAGAGAGAGAAAACCTGAGAGAGTGAGAAATGCCTGCCGGTCACGGTCTCCGCGCTAGGACAAGGGATTTGTTCGCCAGACCCTTCAGAAAGAAGGGTTACATCCCCCTGTCGACTTACCTCAGGACTTACAAGATCGGCGACTACGTCGACATCAAGGTAAACGGCGCCGTTCACAAGGGTATGCCCCACAAGTTCTACCATGGCCGCACCGGTCGTGTCTGGAACGTCACCAAGCGCGCCATCGGCGTTGAAGTCAACAAGCAGGTATAATTAAAATGCGCTTCTATTTTTTATTCTTTTTCTGGGTTTTTGTTTTATTGGGGCTTTGGTTTATGATGTTTATTTATGGGTTTTCTGTTTCATTTTCTTGATGTATTATTTTAATTTGTATTTGGGCTTTGATCTGTGTTACTTTGAAACTGTTAACTTATAGCAATCTGTTTGAATTTCGATTCTGATATGTCCTGTTCTGCTGTTTTAAGGTTAGATTGGCTTGCTTACATGATAAGTAATATGAACGCACTAGCCTGTCTTAGAGCATTAGTATGGCATTTTCTTTAGTTTTCATGACATGTTGGGGCTGCTTTCTTGCCAAAAGAAATCTAAATTCACTATTTGGGATGAGCTTAAATTTCATATGTCAATAAGATGACTTACAATTTTACATCATCATCATGATTGGATGGCCTGTAATGTACCAGCATTTCAGGTGGTGGTCCTGTTAGTCTTTTGATTCTTTTTACACTTGATATTGGGGTTTTTCCAATGTTCTGACCGGTCTGATCTGCTTACCTTGTGCCTTACCCTCATGTAGTCTACATGCTTCATTTATTGGAGAATGAAAATTTGAGCACTTATATGCTTGTGGATTTCAGGTGGGTAACAGGATTATCAGGAAGAGGATCCACGTGCGAGTGGAGCATGTTCAGCCGTCAAGGTGCACTGAGGAATTCAAACTCAGGAAGGTGAAGAATGATCAACTCAAGGCAGAGGCTAAGGCAAAGGGTGAGGTCATTAGCACAAAGAGGCAGCCAGAGGGTCCTAAACCTGGTTTCATGGTGGAGGGTGCTACATTGGAAACTGTTACTCCCATCCCATATGATGTTGTTAATGATCTCAAGGGTGGATACTAGATCTACACTTTTTTTGTGGTCTTGCTGTTTTGGTTTATTTTTGGCAAACATTAGTGAACTGGATTAGTTATTTGGATGTGCTGTTTTCTTTGTAGTTTATTTTAAAGAGATACTGCTCCTGCTGAGATTTTAATTTTATCACTCATTTTAGAGACAATGGATGTCTTTATATGCAAAGTGTTATATTTGTTCGTGCATTGCCTTTTGTTTCCAAAACTTGGATAAAATTCTCTATGAGAATGTTCAATCTTCCTCCAGGTTGGAGGTTTCTTTTCCTAATTTAACTGTGTTGTGTTTATTTAACAACTATGGGTCTGCTTAGTGGCTGTTTCCTCTCTTAGGAGGGTAAGGTCTCAGTTTGAAATTGTCAAAGAATATAGATTAAATTCTATATTAGATTCTAATTCCTATAGTGCCCTGGGTATTCTGTCCAATTAAAACAAGCAGAATTTTATATTTAAAAGCTTGAGTGTAAGAAACTAGGTCGGCAACGGTTTCGGCAGTTCTCTTTACCTACACTGCTTTTGGCATTGGAAACTAATTTGTTTATTTCAATATTGATCTACAAGCTTACCATCCTGAACATAAGACTCGCTAGCTATTAGGGTGATAATTTCCCCCTCTTTTAGTTGCTGTGAAGTACCAAGTCTACCAACAAGTTCTTAGAGGATTGAACTGAAGGCTAGAAACTTAAACAGTAAATAAGCACTTAAAAAGTCAAGTATTGATAGAACCAGTAAAATATCGATTCTAAGTTTGCTCCAATTTTCAGAGAAATTATCCAGTGCATCGGCTTTTGCCCAATTTTTAGCTGTCCCTTCCTATTGCCAAATTCCACTAACTATTCTAATGGATATATACAAATTGGCAGAGTGATGTTTGCGTATAGAAATAAGAAAAGTAGGCAAGAGATCTAAAATTCAGTTTGCTATCCATATCATAATATTCAGTGTGTTTGGGTCTCAGAATTGATTCTTGATGTGATGGGGATGGGGTTGCTGACAATGCATCTTGTGAGTTAATCAGAAATTCCCAAATGAAGGAGAAACGTAAATGAAGAGCTCTTGAACCTTGCTACATCATGCCAAATGGCAGTTTTGAGAAGTACTTACAAAGTAAAGAATATGTGCTCAAAGCAAGAAGCTTGTCACAAGTACTACAGAAAGCGACTTGGGGTAGAACGACACAATTTATTCCTTCTTTGAATGAACACTTTCAGTAATGATTGGTATGCTATGTTTTAAGTTAATCTTGACCATCTTTATTTGAAGAATCTTTGCCAGTATATATAACAAGCTACTGCCCTTAAGGTCTCCCAAATCTTACAGAGCAAATCTTGGAGTCTGGGCCACCAGGAAGATTAAAGATGAGGATATCCTGGATGTTCTTCTCTCTTTTGCTCCTGCTTCTTGCCTCAGGTTGTCTCTTCATTACAACCTTGCAAACTAATTATATCTTTTATTTTGCTTGTCTTCCATCTCTCTACCTCTGAAGGCACTTCTGCTCATGTCTTACAGAAGATGAATACTTGACCTAAATCTTATTGATTGATTGCAAATTAGTTTTCCAAAATGAGAGGTTAACCAAACAAGAAATACATCCAGGATCAGGCAATAAAATGTTTTAGTGACAGGATTTATACACATGTGACAACATCTTGCTTTTGTATCAAGAAATCGTTCGGAAGACTCATTATTCTGTGATTTCTTGGTTGTCCATCTCACATTAGCTGCTACTTGCTTACAGGGACCTCAAACTGATAATGCTAAGTATTTTGTTTCTTTACGTTTTTCTCCTTTCTCGTCTCAACAGATGAGTTTGGCCCTGCCTTGTCTACACGCGGGGTGTATGCGGCAAGGATCCCTGAGCATACATGTCACAAGGTTATTGCGACAAACATATGTAAGTTGCAGAAATGCATCCAGGAATGTTCCAAGGAACCAGCTGGTGCGGGAGATTGCAGAGACAACATTTGTTATTGCTCATACTACTGTAAGGATCCCCCAATGTGATTCATTTTATTTCTGCTTTTGGCCTTCGTTGTTTTGAGCTTGTGCTAGAAACTAGAAATTGAGAGAGATGGAGTCATTTACAGATTAAAGAGATTCAGGATATATTACCTACTGTTTTCAGTTCTTTCCATGTTTTATGACATACACGTATCGATATCTGAGCTGCCCTGTGTATCATCACGCCACAAATACTCGCATATGGTTAGAATAGTACCATGCCTAAATGCAAAACGAAGGAATATAAGAAAACAAAACGAGAAGCACAAGAAGATAGGTGTGAGAGAACTTAACCATTTTCGGAAAAAAGATTTGCACAAAGTATTTGCTCTTATATATAATTGGCTCAATTAATAAATTGGTTTGTCTTGATCGTAATGGGTAATTGGATTCAAATAATATGTATAATTTTTCATTTATATTAATTTCGAATCTTATAAAATATGGTATATATTTTATTTTTAATTGCAAGAAATATAATATATCTATTCTTTTGAAGATTTGAATTCTATGAGAAAATGTGTTGTATATAGGAGTGTGACAAACTTTTTCAGCACAAGTGTATAAGAAGTGTGACGATTGAGGCCAACAATGAAGTTCCTCTTATACTTATTTGCCACTAAGCGGTGAATTCATGTGTCATTCAACTTTGTAAGCATTTTAAGCAGAGTCATCTCCTACTTTTATGCTTAACGGTGGAGGTGAAGCTATGATCCTATGGACTCACTCAATGAAAGAACTACTAGTCTTCCAATAAGCTTGATTGGAATTATAATTTTTCTTTTAAAAAAATTACGGTCTTCGTCCGTCTCACTTATCTTTGTGAAAAGAAAATTAACTTTAATATATTTATGGTAAAATTTTTGTAAATTTTTTTTTATAAAATTGATGTATCATGATTTTTGTGTCAAATAATGAGAAAAATATGGCTTAAAAAAATATAATTTCGAAGCATCTAAAAATTAAAAAAAAAAGAATTAGAGGGAGAGAGAATAACTTTTGAAGCACAATAAGGAAGTACACATGTATCATTATACTTTTAAATAGGGTTACTTTTGTGAACAGGACTCATTCATTAAAGAGGCAAGTCAAAAAGTCCATTGTTAGCCTATTCGACCAAAAGTCCCGCAGCTGGCATGTTCAAAATGGGTCGTTTCGACAAAGAAAACATATATTATTATTATTATAATAATTATTATTATTATTTTTGAAGTGAAAAACCTGCCTGCTTCAAGGCTCAGGGTTATATCCATTACGCAAGACCACCTGTATGTGTTTTCCTTTTTAAAAGAAGAAGAAATAACTTTTCTAAGATTAAGACATCTATTGACAGAAAAAGAACAAGTGAAGCAACAAAGTATATGATCCTACCAAGATTTTATGAATTTAAAGGTAAAGCTAATACTTTTGCTACATCATAACATGACCACAGTAGTTCTAATTAAACTTGATTCAGTGATCGCTGCACCTGCAAGGCTAACAACATTACTGCCTTTCAAGAATTTGAGTCTCATGTGTTACAAGTTCCAGGATCAAAAGAACCATTACTAGCAATGGACAATCCTAGTTAATTTATGCCAAAACAATGGCTGTAATTTATATCCATCAATTTTTACTTACATATCGTGTATTTAGATTGATTTCAATTACCCTTATCTCGCAACCATTTAACATTTTGGACAAACAATTTATTCATATAGTATAGTATTTAAAAGTGCGAAAATAAAACAGAAAGCGAATACATAATAAATGCTTTGAAGTATTAATATTTAGTTTGTGATCGAATATTTAATTTAATGATAAATATATATATTTTATGATAAAAAGAATTTAAATTTTTTTTATATATAAAAATGTATTTATTAACGGCATGTCGAGGGAAGGAATTAACTTGGCCTCAAATCAAGGAATTAGTGGAAAACATGAATAAATATACGAAAATTTTGGGTCAAGATAGGAATTCCTCAATTCTGTTGACAGAATATGTCCTGTGCACTTCTTCCCTATTAATACCATCCCCGAGCTAGTACCCAATTCGTTCGTCCATAAACCAGTTTAGTCTCTTGGATTTGAGAAATCTTTCTTACAAATGTCCAAGTTCTCCAACTGCAACAATATTTTCTTTGCCATACTCCTTATTGTCTCTGGTTGGTTAATTTATTATTCTTCAAAGTTTCTATTTTAACCTTTTATAAGCTCTTCCACTGTGATTATTGTCTAAGTCTCATGACTTGTTTCTTTTTTTATGCCATTAATCGATGCAGTTGCCTTGGCGATGCGTCAGGTCCATGGGCAAGAAATCTGCCATGGCCAAATTCCTGGTAATGGTTCTTGCTATGCTGGAACTTGCAGCAACCAATGTGCTCAATCCTTCCAAGGCAGTATTGGAATTTGCACTCAAACTTTCTTCAACCGTTTCACTTGTCAATGTTCCTGGTCTTGCAGCTAGCGATCAATAGTTTCGCTCGTGTAATTAATTTCTCTTGTTTATGCAACAAAAATAGCTTTAAGTTTGAATTAATAAAATTTTAGTATAATGCTGCAGAAGATGAAAATTTCGCTGTTGACATCGACACATGCTTCATCTAACCTCATATCATATAAATAACCAGAAAAAAAAGAACAGGACAAACAGAAAGATAACATTCTAGGCCAGGGGCAGATGATGTTTGGGAAAATGATGGTCAAGAATCAAAGGACAATTTGCAGTTTTTAATCTTAATGGGAATCTTGTAATTCGAGCAACAATAAGTTTTCATTTACTATTTTAATAATTTTTTATTAAATTAACAATTAATCTATATACTTTCTCTAAGTGATAGAATCAATCTTTCTATAATAATTTGTAAAAATTAAATTAATATGTTAAAATTTTTTCGTTATCTTTATTGATATAATATTTGATTTTATTAAGGTGACATCAATTTTGAGATCTTTCATCATTGAATAAGAATTACTACATATTCATAAAAAAAGTGAAATTTCTAAACTCCCAGTACAATTGCAGTATAGTAATGATTGTGATTAAGGTAATTATTTGTTCAAAATCCCGCTTGAGTGGCTGTGCCCATCCCTCATCATAAAATTGTATTTCTATAATAAATTAGGTTCTTTTTAAAAATACCCCTCATACATAAGGTGTTTTTAAAATAGTTCTCTTTTAATTTTAACTATTTTTAGTTAAGAAAAATTAATTTTAGATAAAATTAACTTTAATGAAACCGATTCATATATTTAGATCTGCACTCAAACTGACTTATATCCTTTGAGCTTTTTTTATGAAATTATTTATCTTTAGAGTATTCCTTATTAGAACGAAAAACTTTTTTTGATACAATAAAAAAAAATCTTTTGATTGTTTTAAGCATTTTTAAATATTTTGGAGTGATTTTTTATATATGAAAAAAAAACCTTTGAGCATTTTAGCATTTTGAGCCAAGTAGGCATATGCGTTGATTATGTTGTTAAATGGAATATGGTGTATTGCTTAAAAGTTGTTAATTTTGTTAAATAGAATTAAGTAGTGATGGTGCTTTTAAGGCATTGCATAACTAATTTTTGAATATTGCATAACTAGTTTTTAACTATTATGTTACTAATTTTTAAATATTACGTTACTGATTTTTAGATATTACTTGACTGATTAATATGACATTGTATGACTAGTTGATAAGTATTGCGTGACTAGTTAATAAAGTATTGCATGACTCGTTAGTTAGGCATTGTGTGACTTATGCATTGTCTAAAAATCAATTACGTAATACTTAAAAATCAATCACGTAATACCTAAAAATCAAAGACGTAATGATTAAGTCACACAATGCTTAAAAGTCAATCTCACAATACCTATAAATCAGTGACACAATGTCTAAAAATAGTTATACAATATCTAATAACTAATTGATTTGTCATTTCACAACTAAGTTTAAGTTGCTAAAGTTATACAGTGTTCTAATTTACAGATATGTCTAATCAATTTTCATCCCTCAACTTTAGGGTTCTATGAATAAATCAATAAATTCAAGAATTTAAAACATATACTTTGATGTCATCTCTACTCTTTAGGATGGTGAGAAAGAGCTAGATAGCGAGATAGACAATATTTGGTAAGAGAGAAAAATTGAGATTTAATTTTGAAATTTTTATTTAGACGACGAAATAGAGAAAATTAAAACTATTTTAATTTGTCTAAAATTATTTAAGGGATATTGTTGTCAAATCATATCAAAAATTGATTAAAAATAATTAAAATTATAGTAAAAGATATTTTTGAATTGAGCTTATGAAGAGAGTTATTTTTTATAATTTTCTCGTAATAAATTTCCAGACTAAAACAGGATTTGCAAAGATTAATGTCAGTTTATGCAGTTCCTATTTTCATAATAGGTTCAATGGGTTATTGCTCTTCTTAGCCATAATCAATTGGTTAAAGAACTATTGTGATTGAAACAACTATGGAAGGTAAATGGAACATAAAATGTTTGAAATAATTATTCAAATGCGGGTAGAACTAGATATACGAACATATTCTTAGCAAGTCTTAGTGCTTGCCGCAAGGCCAGGAACATTGACAAGAATAAAGGTTTTCAAAATCTTCAACACAAAGCCCGGTGCCACTATATTTCAAGGCGCACTTGTCATTGCAACTTTGAGGGTCGCATTGTCCACCCCCGGGGGCTGGAAGAACATCATGGCACACCTCTTGTCCTGATACTGCTCCACAGATCATCAATGTGACTGCAACATTATCAAAAGGAACAAAGGGAAAATGGAGTGATGAGGAGTACAGCCAATTATCCCAAAAATTGAAAAATATATAAGGAAAAGAGAAAACATACCTAAGATTAAAGAGAAGAGGACCATGACAGTGTTGCAAGGAAGCTTAGCCATCTTAATTTCACAATCAGTGGCTCCCCAGTAACATTAGAGAAGGGATGGAAAGGGATTTTATAAGGTGAAGGGCCTCTAAGAATACCAGGACAACTAATGACAAATCAGATCCCATGGCATAAAATCTTATTAATTGGGTCTCATTATAAGTCTAAAAGTCCGCTGGCCGTTTTTTTTTTCCCAGTAAATTAGGGATATGGAAAAAGTCAATGCAAAGAAGAATTTCATGTATGATTCCTTTTCTCCATAAATTCAATCACATATCTTCTTGATTGATTTCATTCCTTTTTTGCTTAATTTACCTTATTACCTTAATTCAAGTTTAATTTCACTGATAATCTTAGACAAAATTACAACACTGCTATAAAAACGAGCTCAAATGTAACCAATTCTGTCCCAAGAAACAGACACTAATGATAGACCCTACTATCAAGGAGGCACAACATTCGTCGCAGCTCGAAAGTGCACCAACCGGGAATCGAATCACGATCTGTAGCGTGGCAGGAACTATTGTACCACTAGACCACCGGTGCTTCTTGGTCAAGCCCTCTCAACCTTTTCCAAGTGGACATGACAATGAGTAAAGTACTTACTCTAAAACTAATTAAAATTAGATTAAATGCTTAATTTGAGGTCA